GGTCATTCGCGCCCGGGGACACGGCTAGGAGGGCTGGGTGGAAGGCTGGGTGGGCGGTCACTCGCGCCCGGGAACACGGCTAGGAGGGCTGGGTGGGCGGTCACTCGCGCCCGGGGACACGGCTAGGAGGGCTGGGTGGCAATCCTTACCGTTGTTCACCTGTCCGTGGACTGCAGCAGCGACTGGGACCATGTGAGTCCCGTTCTGAGTTACAGTTTTTATTGGTAGCTGGTGTTGGCCTAGAGGTGCCTGCTGTACTATGGTGACCGTCTGGACTGGGGTGGGCGGGGACGTCTGGATGACCCGGCCGGTGGCCCCCGGGGGGGGATGGCCGATCGCAGGGAGAGGCTCCACTTTCACTGATGTGAGAAAAGAAGGAGAAACAAGACCAACTGAGAGGACTGGAAAGGAAGCGAGTGACAGACAGAATGCAGGGGCTTCCGGGGGCGTCCAGAGGGGACTGCGGGGACTCGGCAGGCCCACCTCACCTTTCCCTTCTCGGTGATCTCCGTTCTCCTGCGGCTCCACCTTGGGAGGGGTCCCCACGGCCGCCTGGGTGACCACAGCTGCTCCAGTGACCGCGTAAGTGTTCGCCGGGGCCAAGGCGGCCACGCCGGCGACCGCCCCCGCGGGGATCTGGTGGACGACGTGGACCGTCTGCACGACGGGCTGCTGGGACGCTGAGGTCGTCACGGGCGTGGCCACCGTGTAGGTGACGGGTTTCATTGTTTGCGGTAGCTGCCGCTGCACAGTTATCAGAACTGGCTGACTGGACAGAGGGGAACCTGTGGAGAGACCAAGGCCATCACGGGCCACCCAGGGCCTTCACTGCCAGACCCAGCTCCCCACCGTGGACCACCACCACCAACACAGCAAGGCTGACCACGAACCAGGAGGTGGCCCACCTCCCCTGAGAAAAGCAAAGAACTAGTGACGAGAGACATGCAGACTTAATACAAGAACTAGGTGCTGTCCAGTCGACCGACTCGTGGTGACTCCGCATGTCAGAGCAGAACAGCGCATCACAGGGTTTCCAGCAGCTCAGTTTTCAGAAGTAGATTGCCGGGGCTTTTCTTCCAAGGTGCCTCTGGGTGGACTCCAACCTCCAACCTTTCGGTCAGCGGCTGAGTGCGTTCACCGTTTGCACCACCCAGGGACTCCGGTGTTTTACTAGGGACAGTTAACTCCTTATCTAACCCCCACGGATGGAATTCCTCCTCTTTACGTTTCTAAACATCTCTCCCCACAGCTCTTGCCTGTCCATATACAGGACGTGGGAAGAAACCGCCCGCAGGCCAGAACGGCAGAGACCACACTTACCTGGTGACCAAAATCTTGGTTTTATAATGCAGGCCAAGGGAATGGGAGAGTTTAAAAACAGCTGGGAGGTTATAAAGCCTCTGCCAACCAATCTTTGCTCTTTTTGGTTCTGTGTTTAGATTAGAAAGATATACAGACGCCAGGTGCTACAGACTGGGGGCAAGGAATAGGAGGCAAGAACACCACATGGGGTTGGTGTTCTCTGGGCCGGCGTGACCAGGAATTCCCATTCATCAAAAGGCACATTTTTACCAACCGACTGGGAAACACGGAAGAATGAGTTTGAACGCATTTCCACACTATGTATTTAAAACAAGAATTCCCAGGGCATAAACTGTTCTTCTACATCACAACTTGGTAAGAAAACAACTGTGAAGTGCTTCCCTACTCATTTAGATGGATCTTTCTCCCATCTAATCAGTGTGTAGTTTGTATAATTTACAGTATTTTGGGGGAGAACTGTTTTCATGGATTTTTGAATGGTGAAGCGTGATGTGAATTCTAGATCATTTCGGGCACGCACTCACAGTGCCATTTTAGAGACGGCCACTGACCTTCTAAAGCCCACAGTGCTGTTGGTCTTTTGGGGCCTATAAAATCGTCAGATATTACGCAGAGAACTAGGTACAAGGTATCTAACCAAAGAAAACCCAAACCCGTTGCCGTCGAGTTGATTCCGACTCCTAATGACCCTACAGGACAGAGTAGAACTGCCCCACAGGGTTTCCAAGGAGTGGCTGGGGGATCTGAACTGCCGACCTTTTGGTCAGCAGCCAAACGCTTAACCACTGTGCCACCAGGGCTCCACAGGGCATCTAGGCATCTTTTTTCACAATAATGACCTCTGGAGGGTTAGCTCTTCCTGTGCACGTGGCAGGGCCTCTGCACGGCAGCGCGTGGCCCCTTGTTGCACCTCACCTGGTGCGCTCTGGGCAAACCGTGCCTCCTGGATGACGGCAAGCTTAGGCTGTGCGGCTCCTGGCTCGGGCTCTGCAGGGGCTGGTGAACCTTCCCGCGACAGGCTCTCGGGGGTCTGTGCGCCACTTGAGTGAGCAGACAGCACTCCCGCGTGGTTGGGAGAGGCGGGGGCGCTTCTGTGTTGTCAAGAGAAGACGAGAGAGCGGCAGCTAGTGGATGTTAACAGGTGAGGCCCTCGTCAACCGCCTGCTGGCTCTGGTAAGTGTCCTCTGCAAAAGGGACATCTCCAGGATGTCTCAACTTCTCCAAGACTCCTGGGCACTGAGATGGGCCTTCAGGGAGACTTGCCGACGCCTGCGACAGGCGCCGAGGGCTGGGTGGCACGACTGCCCTGCGCCCAGTGCAGGCCGTGCGGCCACGGAACTGGACCAGCTGCTCCCGTAAGTAGCTCCCGCTCCCGTTAAGACAGCGAGGTCATGGCAGACGGGCGGGCCGGGGCTTAACACTGACGTTACGGTTTTCTTAAAAATAAAGTTATCTATTAATGGAGCTAAAAATCTGTAATTTCAAAATCAGGCAAAGTAACATTGTGTAACTCAATCTTAAGGAGCCAAGAGGTGGCTTTAAGAGCTTCTCACGTGCCAAAGGGAAGAAAAACCACTAGCTGTCAACGGTGCTGACTCACGGAAGCGGTTTCTGCTCATTTTAACGTCATGCAGTGAGTTCAGTGAAGCTACAGTCACTACAAGTGACTGACCTTTCAGGACAACTTGACAGTCGGGAAGCTGGACCATGGGAAACACCCCCCGCTTCTTCCCAAATCCCACGGCAACTGCGGTGCACTCGGGACTCCCTTTACTCCCCAAAGGAACGTTTACCAGGACATGGAGGCAAATCGCTGACCATGAAGCGAGGTCTCTGCTGGTCTTCCTTCCTTACCTAGAAGAGAGCGGTCCCAGAGGGGTTCGAAAGCAAGGCACGCCCCTAGGCCGTCTTTTCCTGAAAGCCTGCTCTATTAGCTTGCTCTCGGAGGCAGGGTCTATCCTCCAGAACGAGCCTTTGCCTGGTTCTTCCTGGGAACGTGGCACTTTGATGAAATAGCGATTCAGAGAGAGATTGTGGCGGATTGAATTCTATGAAACATAAAAAAATATGTAGAATTCATATATTTCTTTGCTTAGAAATAAAAACGTGCCCTACTTTTAGTGCTCTGCAAAGCAGAAACCTAGGTGTTTAGCTTCTGCAGAGCACAGAGACAGTAGTTCAAAAAGCAGCACTGTGCTTTGGGGGCTTCTGCCTTCTCCTCCGTGGGCCTTTCTTGGGGGGAGAAGGAGCGTGCGGGCGCTGGGCACCTTCCACCAGAGCTGCCACATGCGGGCCATCGGAGAAGATGAGCCAGCACAGGGAGTAAAGCGGCAGGTGGGACCCGAGGGTGGGGGGTCAGGGACAGAACACACGGAAGGCACTGCCGGTCCCCACCTCCCATCGGAGCAGGAGCCAGGGCTGTTCCTGGACTCATTTGAGCTTCACTGCCAGCCCCTCCGGGTCTGGAGACAAAGCCAGCTGATGTAAGCTGCTGTAAGCCCATCCTTCAAGACACATTTAAAGTAAATCAATCCAGTACAAAGTATGTGGCAAACCAACCAAGGGGAAAAACACACAACGGGCTGAGAACTGCACCAACAGCATCTTCCACGGCAGTGTCTCCCTGCTGGGAGGTGTGCAGAGAACACGCTACTCTTGTCTCCTAGTCCGTTTTTCTGGCTGTTACAAAACCTCAGCCAACAGTTTACAGACCACTCGAGGAGAGCTTGCCTATGGTCTCTGGGGCCACACCCTCGGGGACAGTGTTGCCATCCCAGGTCCCGGCCAAAGCCGGAAGAAGTCATGCGTTTACATCAACATCTCAGGCATCCACATCCATGCTCACATCTACAGTAATAAACCATTAGAGTGCTGACTGGCAGTAACTCCAAGTAAAGTTCTTGGGCTATCCAAAAACGGCTCTAAATTCCCCACTTAACTTTCTCACAGGACTGGCCAAGGCAGCTCAGACACAAAAGCACGTGTCAAAGTCCCTTCACGGCCAATCAGAAGGGCTGGCACTAGCCACCTGCCACTGACAAACCCTTCAACTCCCGTGGACTTCAGGGATGAGAGGCTGGGCGTGGCCGAGTCTACGATTTCTGAAACTGTTTATTAGAGGAGATTTGGAACATTTTCATAAACACAGACATTTGCTATGACGTTTTATCACAGCATTTAGCTGATAACCAAACAATGCTGTTCGATCAGTTCTTTCAGGAAATCACATGTGACCATGACTGGTGCCCCGTCAAAGACAAGAGAAGAGGAAAACCTTTACCAATGGCCCTTACGTCTTGTTAAGTTTGGAGCAGAAGGAAGACTCCAAGATTGTGGATTCAGAAAAGCAAACCCAGACAGCAACACAAGACACTCTAATCGTGGAACTGGCGGTCCCTCCTCCTCACTGTCTCGTTGGGACTGGCCACCCCAGGCAGGGACTCAGAAATACCTCCCACCCACCCTCAGCCCACTGCGCCACCAGGCGAGGCCACGTGAGGCAGGACTGAAGAAGCACCAAATGAAGGCAGCGACCCCGCTGGCGGGCGGACCAGAGGGGACTTCTACCCACGGGATGCTGAAGGGCAAGGCCGGGCTCAGACACGTGCTGCCTTATTACCATCCGCACCTGGGATTTTTCAGACAAGATTCCAGAAAACATGAGGAAGCAGTAGGAGACATTTAACTTAGACGCCAACAGAGCAGATAAACTATCTCTAAGGTGCCTCAGGCATCCACTGCCTGGCTGGTCTAGGATGCGTGCTGGCTCATCTGATTGCCACATGCCCTGCTGCCACCTGGTTCAGATCCCCAGGTTCAGAATCACCATAAATACTCAGAGAGAGTGGATTGCTCTCCCTGAACACTGCACATGCAATACTGAGCAAACTCTCTCCCACCCAGAGCCTCTCCTGATTGCGGCTGCACCCAAACCCACCCTGCCAGGTACTATGCCCACACCTCCCGCTGCCCAGTACCCGCAGCTCACGGAGACTTCTCCACCCCACGAAGCTCTGCGTGCACCAGGCGGGTCTGGGGGTCTCCACTAGATAGCACTGCCTTCCTGACCAGACCTCAGTGTCCAGGGGTAGTATGTGTCTGCACGTGTGTGCATGTCTGTCTGAGTGTATCTGTGTGTGTCTGAGTATGTGTGCATGAGTTTAATCCCACTGCCCTGAGTGCTCTCGAGTGTGCACCTTGCACAGAGGGGACTTGTAGAGAACTTTGTGAAACTTTTCTAAGAGTGCATTCTATTGTGTTTACAAATGTCTAGAAGGAAAACCCCCATCACCTTTATGAGGAGGCTAATATGTAGAATCTGGGGGTGTAGAGCACCCCGACTCTCCAAGGAAAAACCAAGAGTCCAGTCTTTTCAAACTTTTCACAGCTGCAACAGATATCTGTTCTGGGCTGGGCAACATTATAATTATAAATTATAAGAAAACATTTTGGCAGAAAAATGCAGACCAAAGGAAAGAACACAGTCTTTCCAGGTAGGGTATCCTAGAACTTCTGTGGATAAATGAAGAAGCAATGACCTGGGAAGTCAGTCTGCAGTTAGCTGTGCAGCCCTGAGTGTCCACAGCAGGCAAGGTGGGAGTACAAGGCGGGGGCATGAACCTCTCCCCTCAGACAGCCCTTGCGCACCTGGGGCCTGACGCCCACGGGCCTGCCCCTCAGGAGGAGACCCTCCCACACCATTAGGGACAGCAGGCACAATCTCTTTTAAAATGTTGCTCAGTTTTTCATTTTCTCCCAGGAGAACAGGGACCTGGCCCAGAACGGGTCTGACACACAGATTTAAGCAGTCACTCTGGAACGGGCACTCAGTGGTCGCGAGCAGACCGTGTCTGGAGCCGCCAAGGGCACCGCTGAGGACAGAAAAGCTGGGCGTGCACGTCCGTCAGCCAGAGGAAGGCTCGAGCGGGCGTGCGCGTCCGTCAGCCAGAGGAAGGCTCGAGCGGGCGTGCGCGTCCGTCAGCCAGAGGAAGG